TTCAGAGGACAGATCTAATTTTATTTGGGCAGATGCAGCTACTCACAATGCAATGTGGAAAGTGTATAAGATCACACTCCCCCATCCATTACTTTACCTGCCTCTCTACTATCATCTTACTACCAACTGCATCCTCTCTCATTCTACTTCTCTCTATATTCTAATTACCCTGCAGATACATATTCTGTGATAGCTGAAAGGCTTTGATGCCTACACATTGATATATTGTTACTCCTTTTGAGCCTCTGAAGCGCTGAATATTGAACTTCACCTGTTTTACTGCATTCTTGCTCACTCGTATTGAGACCTGTGAGTCTCACGCATATAGTTACTGTTCTATTGTACTATTATAACTACGTATCTTCGCATTCATTAAGCTCTGTTACACAACAAAAGTGTAGGAGATCAAATTGTTACTCAACATGGTGATAGGAATTATGTGACTCAATGTTTAACGTGCAAATAAAAAAATGGAAAAAGTGTTTCAGATTTTTGTTAAAAGGTTTAGGAAATACTGGAGAGAGGATTATCTGAGGCCCCAGTTATGTAGCTGTTGTTTATTCAATACTGCCTTGCTAACCTCATGTCTGAGTTCATGATGTCTTATGATTTGGCAATTGGTTACATATCAGCATGGAATAACTATGCAAGTTTTTGAAAAGTAAATAAGAGAAAAGGATGCAGCTGGAATATTCCCCAGCGATGCAAAGAGGTCATTGGGTTTAAATGTGTTTTCAGGAGTTAACAGAGGAGGGAGCAGGTTCAGAGTAACATGTAGAGGCAAATATGAAAGCAGAGATAGGAGATTTATGGCAACTTAGAATGGTCGACCAGAAAATCAGCAAGAGAGAGATGATTCAAGTGTGGTCAACATGGTCTTGGCGTTATACACGTGCCTATGCCTATGATTCCTACAATGCTCCCTGCACCTGAACTTACTCTTTTACAGGGCTATACACCTATGAGAAACCTTGGTTTCTGTTATACCGTGGTCTTACCCAAGGGCTGGACAGTCTTCGGTCAAATAAGGAGGGAAGAGAGGGTATCCTTAAAGGGGCAGCACAAATTTATGTAAGTCATTGTCATGGATTTGGACAAAGGAACTTATTGCAACATGTTTCTCCATAAGAGACCTAGACAATATTATTGAGACACTTATTGGCTACAACAGATCAATTTAGTAAATGGCTAGAAGCCTTCAGTACTGCGAAGGAAAATTCAGCTACTGTGGCAGGAATACTGTGTTAAGAAATAATCCCATGCTTTGGTTACCCCCTAATGATTAACAATGATAAAGGGACACCTTTAACCTCTGCAATCACACAGAAGTTCTGTAGCATGCTTGCTAAACATTGGAAATGTCCTTACCATCCTCGGACATCTGGACAGGTAGAATGAACCAATCTATCCATAAAAGAGAAGTTAAGGAAAGGAACAGGCGGTACCATTAGTAATTGACCAGATTACCTTCCTGTAGTCTAAGATGAGATCAAAATGACTCCCAATAAGGCTACTGGTATCTCACCCTTTGAAGTTTTAATAGGAAGACGTTTCCTTACTGCATGGCCTAAAAGTAAGATTGCTCCTATGATACATGGGGATATAACGGTAATGCAGTAAGTATTTGTGAGCTAGCTTGTAAACCTGCTGAATGGCATCTACGATGATGTGCCTCTCTCTCTGCCTCTTCCCACAGGTGAGCCAACCCAATTGTGACGAAGTGCCCTTCGCCACTTGGTCCTGGAGAGGCCTACTTGCCAGTCTCCTCCCCTGTGACTATGACTCTTTCATGTATCTGGCTTTAAAGCCCCTAGTCTACCTTCAGACAGACTATTTATGTAGGCTGCTTTATTTATCTTATGTTTTAGTCACCCTGTACCCATTATAGGTGCAGGGTGTGTGTAATGTAATTGTTTATAGTGTGTGTGTGTGTACTGTGTAATGTATTGCCTGCTCTCTTGTATTGCTGAGGTTTGCTACCAACTAGGTGGGTTTGGCTATGGAGCTGGTCTAGTGCCCTCTGTTGGTAGCAACAGCAATATGCACTACCTGAATTGCAAGACTGGTTCATTTGCATATTCGGGTAGATTTGCATATTGCTAATTCTGCAGGCAGGTGAGATATTTACTGTTAAATATTGTCTCCCCCACCCCTTTAAAAATGTGCCATTGTGTTGTGATAAGTCACTGTGTGTTGCTTGATATGGTTTGACTGTTTGTGATTTTATTGAGGTTTCACAACAATGTTATTGTGGTGACCCTATTGGCTGGTCCCAAGGGAAATAAAGGTTTTGACAGTTCTTCTTGATCCCTCTAAATGTAGCCTTGTCTTGTTATTGGAGGGAGCTGTTATAATCACACTGGGGATTGCTATGCTCTGCATGCTCCCCTGAGCTTGAGTCACTTAGCTCTTTTAAGAGCTTGTTCCTGACACGCTCTCCTTGGAGGAGGGGTCTTCACCACACAGTCCTGGATGCTGGAGGTTCATACAGGGTGGAAGGAAGAGTTCTTTCCCACACAGTCCTGGAGGACAGAAGCTGATCCAGGGTGGAAGGAAGACGGCGAGACTCCAGTCCAGATACGGCGGTTGCGGAGTCTGCGGTGGTTGTGGTGTCTGCTGCAGTGCTTGGAGTCCTCAGGAAGCGCTAGGAGCATCCGTCAACGGAGGGTACTCGGTCGGAGTACAGGGAGCTCCGTTACACCATCTTTTCAAGGCAGGAGATGTGGTCCTAGTGTAGCAGCTGTTCAAGCAGAAGTGTCTTGACCCTCCTTTCGGCCCACCTACAACCGTGATTGCAGTGACCAGGATGGCTGTCTTAACCGCCACGCCAGCAGAGTTAATAACTCACTCAAGAGTGAACAGAGGAGTGAAGATCCTGGTCCTACAGCATGAGGCCTTCTTCTATTACATGCATCTGGACATTGATTCTGAAATGTGCAAGCATAGCTGCCTTCATTTTTCTTTTTCTTTTTTCACTCCTTCATGGTGCTCCCCTGCACAGCATTCACTATTGTAACTCCAGCATGTTTTGCTGCCGAGTTGTTACAAAGTATGGCCTGAGTCAATCATCCTGAGAGATGGACAATCATTTCATAAAGAGTGCCAATAACTTATATACAGCCCTGAATACTACCGGGTCTTGCTGGATATGTAGCTATACTTTACACTCACAGTAACATCCCACGGACACTTGATTTTCTGAATGGTCTGATTTGTAACACTAACCCATTAACTAATGTTACTAGTAAAATGAAATGTATCCCTAAAGGATCTAAGCAATATCTTGCCTTCTCTGTCATGGAAGGTGCTGTAACTTTTGTAAATTATAATAATGGCATAGAAGAGCTTAGAACTATAAATGGCTTGGGGATTTTAGTAAGAAAGTATGTTTCATATACTTCTGTTTCTATTTGTCATGATATCCATGTGTGTGCTTGTTATCATTTTTAAATGTATTTGTCTTCTTATATGTAAATCATTGAAAAGCTAACAGTACCCCATAAGGATGTTACCCTTACCATGTATACCAAAATAAAACCCAGAAAAACAGATTTGTATGCTAATATTGTAACTCCCCCCACTCCTACTCCCTCTGTAGAAGTATCCACTTATCGCTTTTTCCCTCTTTAAAGTGCTTGTTATTCTTACAGAATAAAAGGAGGGACTAATAGGATAAAATAGCTGCCCATTTATATACCTCGGCACCGCACAGAGCTAATGCCCTCCTGAACCAGACACCCTGAACGCTCAAAACAAAAATTCAAACGTGCATATTCAATTTATAGCCAATAAAATTACATTATTATTATTTTTTTTTAAATAGCTTTTAACACATATTTCACTTACCACAAATAATATGCATACATCCAAACAACACCAAAAATGTTATATGAACAGAAAACATATGGGCATAGAAAGTTATTCTATGATATGGGAAGGAGAATGAATGTAATGCACAAAACCTACCTACAACCCACTATTGTGTGGATGACATTGTGTAGGGATATTTGCTACACAATATGATCTATAATATATAAAACAAAAAGTTTAAACAAAAGGGAACTACTTGCACAAACCCAGCCACATTATGTAATTTGGACCTAAAAGTCATGTTGAACAAAAAATATTTCCTGCTACCATATGGCCACAAGTGACGCAGCCCAGGCATCTGACATAGCCATTGTTCACATGTTTTCTGTGATTGTCATAGCATATGTACTAATGGGTCCTTCAGAATCCCCCACTGTTTATGGCACAGTATTGGTGGATATCTCTAAAGCACTGGGGAAGAGAAGGATCTTTAGCCAGAACTTCTCAATTCTGATGAATTAGCGGCAGTCCTTATGCTATATGTTGTTTCCAAAGTATGAGAACCTAACTCCCATCAGGGGAGCAACCCTTTTCTTCCCAGTAAGTGCTAGTGCAATATTGGAGCCGTAGACAGCCCTGTAGTAAGCAGAGGCAATTGATTTGCCTATGATCAAAGCGTATGAAGGAAAGAACTTTGAGTTATTCAATTTTTGTAGATCAGGAAATCACCGCTGATGACCGTGGTAACCGCTATTATAGGTGATCCTGATGAAAGTGAGGTATGAAAAGCATGGTGATCGTATCCAAGGACAGAGAGCGCGCAAATAGTGTTTTTTCAACATTGGTGGAGGGTAGGTATACATTTTATTAGTAGGTGTATATATGTGTGTTTTATATTGATAATTGTCCTGATGAAAGTTCATATTTTTAAACTGAAATGTTAATGCTGCAATAAAAGTTAAGGTTTAATAACTAAAAGACTCATGAGTGCTGACCATATCTGGATTTTCTTTACATATTTATAGGTCTAGCCTCTCGCCGCTCCCCTGACCCGGAGGCGCCCTGGAGCTGCTAACCGCACAAATCAACCCTGCGCCGGATCGGCGGGGGTGATCCCGGTCCACCCTGGGGTGGCTATCCCAGACAAGCTGAGAAATGGAAAGTCACCCACAAACGGAGGCCCACCTAAAATGGTGGATCCGACAAGTGCCGACTACTCACTCGACAAACATGATATTCTCACACGACTTAACCTCCATTTCGAAACATTCTGGAGGAAGCTGGAGCGTAAGCTGAATCAAACCACCCTGCTCCCCCGAAGCGACCGCAACCCAGCGACCCACCTCAAACGGCCCGGTGGTTGAGGCATCACCCAGCACCGAAGACCATCCGAGCAGGGCACCAACGCAAACATGCCTGCCCAACCCGTTGATGCCGCACCACACAGCGTTCCGGCAGAGACTTACCCCAAGTACCCAGATCACTCGGGCAGAAGGGCCACAGATCACAGCGTCACCCGGAGAAAGAAAGAAGCAGGGTGCAGCCAATCGGCACCAACCACATCTGTGGGATCACCGCATCACACAGAGCCCCTACATGCCGACAACCAATGGAGCTCACAGGGCTACATGGACTCCCCAAGCCTCAACTCGCATCTACACCCTGGGCTAGCACACAGCAAGGGCATTGGCTGAAAGTGGCAGAACAACTCACCGCAGCTCTGTTATCCACGCTGCAAGTCCCCTAACACCAGAGGACACAGACCCGCAATTGCCGAACTTACCTAGCCGCTCCCTGTTATCGTTATTGGTATAATTTTGACTTTTCGTTTCTGCCTCTGTTACTATTATCTCGATAAGATATCTAACACCTGTCTTTCCTATGGAGCATATAGGAAGTCCCAGGACTTTATTTGCTTTAAAGCTGTTTCTTTTCGCACAACAACTTGTAAATATGTTTTAAACGCTAGCAGTACACTACACTAAATATGATCCTGCATGCAATATAAGTTCACTTTATTCATGTTGAATTCCTTGTTTTCTAGTGCGGGCATATTGTCTCTCATCACTCAAATATATGCCTGCACTGGTGAATAGAATGTTGCACCCATAATAGGAGTTAGTTTAATCTCTACCCACTCTCTTACTAGTGCATAAAGTGATCTCTGCTAAGTATATGCAAAGCTCTCAATTCGGGACTGCAATGTTAAGCTGGACATTTGGACATTATCCCTATGCCATAACATAAGTACCCTGTGAGGGTTAACCTGTTAACCACAAGCATTAGGATTGGCTTAGAGTTCAGCCAAGGCTCATCTTCTTGTCATTTTTGCAGCAGGCGATGGTACAGTCCAAGGGGTTAAACCCTTGGCTATAACAAAGGCAAAAGCAAATAGCCAGCCCCAGCAAACGTTAACCCTTGAGTACTCAACCATTTATAAATATGCAAGCCGCATCAAGTGCACTCACCACGTTTATATGCATTGTAGGCTCTACATGCCGGTTATTAGCTTCCGGGGCATAACAAGCCTGTCTGTAACAATTGGGCTAACTTACACTCTATGACCAAACCAATATTATCTCAAGTTAAAATGTTCTAGGCAGCGTGTATAGCCTGTATGATTCTTTTATGTTACTACGCTTGTAAGTTGACTCTTGAATTACTAATAAAAAAAAAAAAGAAAAGTGCAACACATCTTGATTGTCACCAATACTCTACTACTGTAATATCCTTTGGCATTACTGACACATGTACCTAACAATGCACTTTCAAAGATAAAGAATTTATTAAAAAAAAGATTAAATCTGTTTAGTTTGGAAAAATGGCGCCTGAGAGGAGATATGATAACATTATACAAATATATTCGGGGCCAGTACAAACCTTTATCTGGAAATCTATTCATAAACCGGACTTTACACAGGACACAAGGTCACACATTTAGGCTGGAAGAAAGGAGATTTCATCTAAGGCAAAGAAAAGGTTTTTTTTTTACAGTAAGAGCAATAAGGATATGGAATTCTCTGCCTGAAGAGGTGGTTTTGTTAGAGTCTATACAGATGTTTAAACTGCAATTGGATAAATACTTGCAAAAACATAACATACAGGGATATAATTTCTAATTAGTGGGGTAATAGCTGCTTGATCCAAGGAGACATTTGACTGCTATTTTGGGGTCAAGAAAGAATTTTTTCCTAGTTTGTTGCAAAATTGGAAGCACTTCAGACTGGGTTTTTTGCCTTCTTTTGGATCAACAGCAAAAACATATGTGAGGAAGGCTGAACTTGATGGACGCAAGTCTCTTTTCAGCTATGTAACTATGTAATATAAATATATATACCACCAAATATAAAAATATATATACCACCCAAGAGGTGCAAGAAAATCTATTTTAATTTTATATCGAGATTGTAGCCGTATTAGTCCAGTGATGTAGATGTAAAAAACAGATACAATTCATATCTTGTAATACCTTTTTATTGGACTAACAGAATTTTTTAATGTCAAGCTTTTGGGAGAAGCTCCCTTTCTCATTTCTGAGCAAGAAGACACATAGAATTCAAAGTTGAGTTGTGATACAGGGGTTAAAGTGACATAAGTGCAGATAAGACACAGGTTTGTTAGAAAACAGACACCATTTACGCAGAGGGTCATAAATATCTTTCTGATGAGCAGAGTGAGGGGGGGGGGAGAGGAAGAAGAAAAACAAACAAACAGGCAGACAGAGCAGAGCAGAGGATGGTACACTTTATACATACACACACACACACAGATATGTATATGCGAAAGTATAAACACATATTCATATACATAAACACATATACATACATGTGCATGAACTCATATACACAAATATAAATGCACAGTCATATATATAAGCATACATGCATAAGAGTATGGGATAGCATAGGTCTACACATAGTACTTTATATATTGATAGAATAAACATATTGGAATGCATTTTAAAGTGTTGATACAAATGACAGAACAGTAAGATAATGTGGGGCGTGTTCATGTAAAGTGTTGGTAGTGGGACAGGAAACCCCAATCAATATTTAGTCCTCTATTCTTGCTGTTAAACCATTTAATCATTCTGGCTTCAAAGGCTTTTCTTTCCTGGGTATTTTTAAAACTCCCTTTCAGTACTTTGATTTTTAGGTCCTTCAGTGAGTGGCCAGGCTGGGTAAAGTGGTGTCCCACAGGAGTGCAGTACGATCCTTCCTTGTGGTGTTTAATAGAGTGTCTGTGCATATTCATTCTGCCATTTAATGGCTGGGTGGTTTCCCCAATGTAGCATCCTAGGTGGCATTTGGTGTAGTGAGTCCAATAAAAAGGTATTACAAGATACGAGTTTTATCTGTTTTTTAATTTTATATAGATATATATACAAATACCGTGTGTCAGCCTACATAAAGCTACTGCACCTGGTTATATCAGGAACTGTCCAAAAGAGTTGTGTGTAATAGGGATGGAAAAGAGGAACAAAATAGTCTTTATGGGGGGAGAGGGGAGCGGGAAGAGGGGGAACAAAGCAAATTTCAGTAGGTAACGTTACAAAAGGGCACACCTGAACACACACATCAATGTAATAATGATGAAATAAGGTTTTAAATCCTGGAACTTCACCTTTAACATAACAAACCTCTCTATCCTGGAATTAATGAAAGTGTCAAACAATGTACCTTTCTAACCACACAATAGATATCTTCATATTATTACATAATTTGGCTCTACTTCCTTTTAACTGTTTACACCATCATTACTGTAATTCCATACCATTCGTTTTTAAGTGTCACCACTTGCTGCATATACCGAGATGAAGCCTTATGAGCTAGTTTAGCAGATTAGATAGATATATTTAAAAAAAAAAAAATGTTTAAAACCAAAAATGTGTAACTAACACGGCTCTGGTAAAACTCTAAAATCTGGCACGCAGGGTTAAACCAGTTACCAAGAATAAATTATAAATGCAGTTATAAAATCACTCAAAGAAAAATACACTCAATAAAATATGTTAAATAGAGTTGAGCGAACCCGGACTGTAAAGTTCGGCTTCGTACCGAACATTATGTTTTTTGGACCCCGGACCCGAACACGTACATATCACTGTATGTTTGGGTTGGAGTTCGGTGTTCGGTGATTTAATGGCGCGTTTTTCAAAGGCTGCAGGGCAGCCAATCAACAAGCATTTGACTCGTGTGCCCTTGGAAGCCATCACAGCCATGCCTACTAATGGCATGGCTGTGATTGGCCAGTGCAGCATGTGACCCACCCTCTATAAGCTGGAGTCACGTAGCGCCGCATGCACATAAGGTGTTATTAGTGTAGGGAGAGGATGCTGCCGCTGTGAGGGACAGCTTAGGAAAGAATTCTGCAAACTAGTACATTAGTGGGGTGCACTTCATATCTGAGAGTCAAATAGAAGCATCAAATACCGCGGTTATATCGGAGATTTAAAAAGTCAATTTTTTTTGGTGCTAAATAGTACATTAGTGGGGTGCACTTCATATCTGAGAGTCAAATAGAATCGTCAAATACTGCTGTCACATTGCAGTTTTAAAACATTCTAATTGTTGTAAACATTCTAATTTTTTTGCTGCTAAACTGCTAAATAGTAAATTTTGGGGGTACACTTAATATCTGAGAGTCAAATAGAAGCGTCAAATAGTGCGCTTACAGCGCAGTTGTAAACATTATAATTGTTTTGCTGCTAAACTGCTAAATAGTAAATTTTGGGCGTGCACTTCATATCTGAGAGTCAAATAGAAGCGTCAAATAGTGGGGGGTCGTCTTATACGCCGGGTGTATGGCCCTTCTAATGCTGCAGCCACCTGAGCGCTCTATAGAGAGCGCTCAGACGGCTGCCGCATTGCCTCTCTTACCTCCCCTTCCCTGTGCAGAGTGGGCGGCCGAGCTCCTCTTCGTCCTGTCAGCGCTCACTTCCTTTTAGTCCGGCCGGGAACAGGTAACTGAATCTCCTGTACCGTGCGGTACCCGGCCGGACTGACAAGACGAAGAGGAGCTCGGCCACCCACTCTGCACAGGGAAGGGGAGGTGAGAAGGAGGGAGTAAAAAGAATGGAGGGTGGGGATGGGAGTAAAAAAAAATTGAGGTGGGAGTAAAAAAATTGGGAGGTTAGTAAAAAAAAATGGAGGGGGGATTAAAAAAGAATGGAGGGGATTAAAAGAATGGAGGGGGAGTAAAACAAGAGTAAAAAATGGAGGGGGGATTAAAAAAGAATGGGGGGATTAAAAAAGAATGGAGGGGGGATTAAAAAGAATGGAGGGGGATTAAAAAAGAATGGAGGGAGGATTAAAAAGAATGGAGGGAGATTAAAAAAGAATGGCGGGGGAGATTAAAAAGAATGGAGAGGGATTAAAAAGAATGGAGGGGGGGAGTAAAAAGAATATATCTCAATTAGCCTCCTGTGTGCTAGACCAGCAGGCATGGATTATATGCCCAAACAGCCTGGCACATACCTGGGCTTTAAATGCTATTTCAGATTATCATTATTTAAAGGACCACTCTAGGCACCCAGACCACTTCAGCTTAACCCCTTAAGGACACATGACATGTGTGGCATGTCATGATTCCCTTTTTTTCCAGAAGTTCGGTCCTTAAGGGGTTAATGAAGTGGTCTGGGTGCCAGGTCCAGCTAGGATTAACCCATTTTTTTTTTTTATAAACATAGCAGTTTCAGAGAACTCCCCGCCCAGCGCTGGAAAAAAGGTACGTTTTTACCCCTTCCCTCTCCCCAGAGCCAGGCGGGATGGGGACCCTGAGGGTGGAGAATGTCTATCATAGAGATTGGACGTTATATACCCATATGAAAGACATGTAATTATTAATAAAAATATAAATAAATAATTGTAGTTATAAAAAATATGACAAATATGAAAAATAAGAAAATCAGAACTTAGCACGTAAAATGTAGTATCAAAGATAAAATGTATATGAGATCTCATATATAGAAATCTATGATCATAAAAACGTAAAAACCACAGAGAGTAAATAGATAGATAAAATAAGACATATATAGTGAACTATATGGGCTCTGCTATCAATGAAAGAACCCTAGATACTAGTAATAAATTCATAATCAAGATATTAAATATTAAAATTAAAAATGAGAAATTAAAAATTAATAATGAAATATTAATTAATTATTAAAAGGAGAAGTTCCATCTAAAAAATTTAAAAAGGTATTGGATTGAAAAAAGTCCTAAAAAATACTATAAAAATGCATTCAATTCAAAATCTATAGTTGAGGAACTAAAGTGTTGAGAGAGAATATCCATTTAGTTTCAGCCTGATCGAGGTTAATATCTATACTTCCTCCTCTCCAGTGTACATTCACTTTTTCTATTGCCATAAAAGTCAATCCTGCTGGGTCTGCACCATGTATCTCTTTAAAATGTTTTGATAGGTTGTGAGTTAATAGGCCTTTCTTAATATTTCGGATGTGCTCTGCAATTCTGATTTTTAAAGGTCTTTTAGTCCGTCCAACATAATGTTTTTGGCATGGACATGTGATAAGGTATATCACTCCTAGAGTGTCACAGTTCATGTCTGTCCTAATTTTATATTCTTTCAAATCATTAGATGAGATGAATCCAGTACTTGTTATTTCTGTTTTGGGATTATTCCTACATCCAATGACAAAAGTGATAGAGTGCTTTGGGAATGAAGGCTTTGTATCAAATATCTGAGACATTAGAAAAATCAATATGTATACAGAATGTTTTATTGCTATGTTAACAGGATATAATATTGACACAATGTTTAGACCGTCCTGAGCTATTAGCACTATAATAAATAATAACAATAGTTTTATCGAAATTAAATTTAAAAATAACGAATTAATGAAGCCTGACTAGAACTCCATTTGGTGTTGTACTCATTCATGCAAAGATTCTAAGTAAATCTTCTGTTATTCACTATTATCATTTTTTAATCAGCATTATCTTTATGGATTGTAATGTTTACTGTATGAATAGTTTGTAATTGTATTTGATGAATACAGACTTCCATTCATGTATATATATATATATATTTTTATGTGATGTGCCTGATATAGTTTAAGTCAATATAATGCACTGAAAAGCTATCGAACATATTGCAATGCATTTTTTAATTAACATAGGGAGGTGAATACAGATGTCTCTGAGGAAGTAGGGCTATCCCCTACGAAACGCGTCAGACAAGTTCAAAGCAAGTTCACAGAAAGTCCATACAGCGATAGATGAAAGAGGTTTTAGCACAACAGCCCGGCGATCAGCTTGGAGTGCAGGCGTCTGAACAGTACGATCTGACGAGCAGTGCAGTTCCCCCGAAGTGAGGCTCGAGGTGAAACGCACTGTGACACGCAAAACGGACTCACCGGCTACCAGCAGTCAGATACTGTATCGGGATTACTATCTATATCCATCCGTGCCGGCACTTAAGGTTTTTGTGCATATTTTACCTTCTATCATCTATTGCCTTGAATGTGAACATATTTTTAACTATATTTTTATATTTCCAATAAAATTGACTTTGTTATTCTTAGCTGTTTTTTGGCGATATAGTTTTTTTGCATTGCTTTTAGCAGCCAGTCTTATATACTGGTTTTTGCTTATTATTACATATCTTATACCATATTTTGCATGATGGCAGTCTATATATCCTGAGGGGTTTATGCCATTTGGTTATTTTATCTTTCAGCCCACTCAGTGAATGGAAGTATACTATTAGGCATCAATTATCTTTACCCAGGGATTCCTGTTTCCTGGGTTATAAGATAATCTTGCCACACATATTTTTTATATTTGAATATTTATATATATATATATATATATATATATATATATTTAAGTATTCTTGTGCTATTTTTGCATTATCTGTTCATTTGATGCTCATAAACTAGCTCCTCGGTTCCTATTTCTGCCATTTTAGTGGAACATTTTATATACATTGTCTTAATAGGTTTTTGGTGGATCCCTATTTTTATCCAGTTTAAGAGCTTTGTGCGCTAGGTCTTTTTCCCTCTATTTGCAAATCTTTTTGCATGAGAATTTATTTCACTTGTATTCTAATTGTTTTGCTGTTAATCTGCTAAATAGCACGTTTTGGGGCGTGCACTTCATATCTGAGAGTCAAATCGAAGCGTCTAATAGTGCGCTTACAGCGTAGTTGTGAACATTCTTATTGTTTTGGTGTTATTCTGCTAAATAGTACATTTTGGGGGTGCACTTCATATCTGAGAGTCAAATAGAAGCGTCAAATAGTGCGCGTACTGCTCAGTTGTAAACATTCTAATTGTTTTGCTGCTAATCTGCTAAATAGTACATTTTGGGGCCTGCTCTTCATATCTGAGAGTCAAATTAAAACGTAACTTAGATTCCAATTTACTACATCGGTCACTTGAAATATTGTTTCACACCTACAACACTTGTTACACAGATCTAAGTAATAGAAAACAGATTGATATTTTCTACACTAGAAACTACCAGATAACAAGCTGCTATATTTAAACCAGTTATCAGTAGCTAAGAGGTACTTCAACAATATTGTAATTCTGGGGCAATACCCTCACAAGTCAAACTGAGAGGTCAGTTTATAGGGAAAACTGTTGCCTGGATACAATTCTAAAACAATTTCCATGTGTCCTTTGCAGACTTTACATACTGGAAAAACACAGGTGCCAACTACTGTGGCTTTCTGCAATGTGCATACCAGCAAGGATGGCAGGGTTGAGGAGTGGGTGGAAGATGATGTGGAGGATGATGAGGTCCTAGACTCCACATGGAATCAAGGTAATGTGAGTGACGTGTGCAGTTTGGAGGAAGAGGCGCTGGTCGCACAGAGGCACCAGCACAGCATAAGAGGGAGCAGGGTGCAAAAGCGGAGTGGCCTTCCCCTAGCGCTCGTCGGCATGTATTAGCTAGAGAATTACCAGTTATCCAAGTAATAGATGTAGCGATCAAAGGATCCATAATAGAGTTGAGTGAACCCGAAGTTCGGGTTCGTACCAGATTTAACGATCCATTCGTAGTTTCACAGTCAGGTGGGCAGTTCGGTGACCGGGACCCAGACAGTGTCTGGGCTGCAGTCGGACGACCGGGACCCAGTATGCCTGATGTTGAAGCTAGGAGTCACAGTGTGGAATGGATTAGCAGGGTCTGGTGCAGGGTAACCGCATGCCCCCTGGTGTTGAGTACCAGGGTTTGTGCTGCCACATACCAGGACCCTGATGCAGCGTCAGTAAAAAGAGTACTGGATACCAGAAACCATCACCAGACTGAGCCGCAACTTGGAACAGGATGTGATTCACTGTAGCGGCTGTGTGCGCTTTCGGCGTTCTCACCCTGGTGCTGCTCGCCTGTCTGCGCTGCAGTGTAAGTTTGGCCTTCCCGCTCACTGCCTCATATGCGACGTGCCCACAAGGTGGAACTCCACCTTGCACATGCTAGAGAGACTGTTTGAGCAGCAGCAGGCGATAGTGGAGTTTCAGCTGCAGCACGCACGGGTCAGTGGCTCTGAACCAGACTTGCCCTCCAATTGATCAGAGTTAAAGGATTTCAAGTGGACTCATTACAATTACAGGGCCTCTAAAGAGTCCTGTATTGTTATTTGTCGTCACTACCTTCCCGCATCGGGAGTGGTCATTTGTCAGGGTCCCTGTACGGAATGGAACCCTGATTCCCCGTTACCCATGGTCACCATGGTAGGCGCAGTCAATGGCATCGAAAGTTGATATGGATTGACATACAAATGCGTCGTCGCCTTCTCACTGGGGAGCACATTTAAAAAATGCTCTAGCATGACGAGCTGGGTGATTGTCATACCTTGTGTCCCGCACCGTCCCGGTCCCGCCGTCCGTCCTCTCCTCCAGGGCGGTGCGGATCTCTGGCTGGCATCGCGCGTGCATCTGGGAGGGCGTCCGAGGACGTGCGCACAAGCACACGGTAGCCAACAGGGGTGACGTGATATTAGCTTTTAAAGTGATAGTAGCTTATTGCTACTATCTGTTTATATCCTCCCTCATTTCTGTCCCTGCCTATCAGAATACACCTTGCCCTATATTAACCTCCTTCTCACATCACTTCCTTGCTCTGTTGTGGTTTATTATAGCCCGAGAGTGTGTTCTAAGTAGTTGTATTTTCTTTGGTTTCTGACTTCGGCTTGTTATTTGGTCATTCTCTTTCTGGCTCCCTGAACTTGGCTCTGTCTATTCGCTTTCCCGTACCTCTATATCCCTGACCTTGGTGTGTTTGACTATTCTTATCTCTTATTCCTATGTTAAGTCCGGCCACTTTAAGGTCCAGTAATACATCTGCCTGTGTGTGCCTTTATTGTTCTCTGGTTTGCGTGTTGGGGAGTATTAACCTTGACAGTGATCTCCTCCGGGAACTTGGCTTGATGGGAGTTGAGCCAGTTCTGGGTGGCCTTTGTGATGCCACAGTGTATACCCAGATATATCAGAGCTGCTGCAGAAAGTGCGGGCCGTCTGTGCTCGCTTTTGGCGTTCTCACCCTGCTTCTGCTCGCCTGTCTGCGCTGCAGCCTAACTTCGGCCTTCCCGCTCACCGCCTCATGAGACTGTGCAAGTAGTAGCAGGCGAAAGTGGAGTTTCAGATGCAGCACGCACGGGTCAGTCGCTCTTTTTTTATATGTCCCAATATTTTGAGGGCTACCCCAATTAAAATATATACATATAAACAGTGTTGGCTACCTCCTCCTCCTCCACTGCCGCTTCCACCTACACCACCACAGTCACCGCCTCCTAAACCTATGGGTCACGTAGTATAAACTATGTACACAATAGCAGAGGCTTGTGAAGGCCTTTTCTCCATGCATCAGGCGTTAAGCTCAGTTTGACCAATGAAAGAGAATACCCTGCACTCCAACCCTCTCTCAAATGGATAATTCTGTTGATCCTCCTGACAGCCATGCTTTAGATTTTGATTGATGTTCTTCCAAAGCTAAAATCAAAGATTCCATCTAGTGCTATTTTATGGCTCAGCTGTATTTTAAATTTTTATGTTATTTTAAGTGATTTCCCTATACACATTTGTTTGCAGGGCACTTGTCCTACTCTTACCCCCATTTTACTTCCTTTTGCAGCCTTCTAGCACTTCTTTAGAGGCATTTTTGTGGCCAAAAGTTCAATGGGGTTCGGGGTCAAGTTTGGGGTCAAGTTCGAGCCCGAACCCGGACTTTTTTTCAAAGTTCGACCAAACCCGCCGGACCCGAACTTCCAGGTGTCCGCCCAACTCATGATAAACCTTTGGCAGGTCCTAATACGGCACACAACCTGCTTCAGATGCAATGCTGGCGTGTTCGGTTTGGGCACTGGCCGACTGGCCTCTTACACACTGGCACTGGGAGACCGTTGAGGAGGGCTTACCACCGCATGCTCTTTTGGGTTTATTTTATTGATGCACATCGTATTTTGGAAGGATTTACGAGGGGAATTTTAACAAGGTACAGTTTGAGACTGCACGCACATTCTGATACTGGAATATATTTCTCTCCTTCCAATGGTTTACTGTACTTTATTGTTTGCATATTTAATCAAGTGATTTTATATGATTTATTCCTGACACCTGGGTTAACTGTACGTGCCATATATTTTAGAGTTTTACCCATTTACCCATAGAGATTTGTAGAGTAGCAGATATAATATTTGTATTCTTATATTTTAGAGATAGTTTTTGAGCAGTGATGGAACCTTTATTTATATATTTAATATTTTTGGTGAATGGAAGATATGGGAGATGGACTGCCCAGGCGAGATAGGGGCAGGGACAACCTCAGAATTCAGAAAATCAACGGCTCCTTTTGTCTAAGGTCTTGGAGGATGTGTAGATACATGAGATGAGATGTATCACTTGATGGGTCCTTGATCTGCACAATGGCCTCGGGCTAATATGGCAGTATGTTAAGCTGCCTACAATGTTTTGGCCACGGGCAGCATCCAAAGGAACACAGTCCTTAAGATAACCAATCATCATGTTGCTAGGCATGTGCAATTTGTTTCATTCCAAATTAAAACAAATTCAGACAAATTCATTACAAACCAAAATGAACCATGAATGAATGAATAAAAACAAATTATTTTGGATCTATTCCTTTTCATAAGGGTAGCAAACTATGGAGTTATTTACTTAGCAACTAATATATTACTTTTCTTAATTTTGATCTTTCAGCTGTTTAGCAGAAAACTCCCTAATTTGTTATCCATACGTGGGATTGTCATTTTTAAGTATACCAAATGAGGGAGCTATCTACTAAAGAACTGAAACAGCAACATTAAGAAAAGACCTTTTCTTAACTTTGATCTATCAACAGTTTAGCAGATAACTCCCTAAATTGGTACTTTGTAACTTTTTGACTGCGCCCTTAATTTATTCCTCATAATTAGCGTCCAAAGTTTGGAAACTAACAACATTTTCTGACGAATTTAGTTTCATCCTGAAAATTCCAAAATAGTAATTTGGAAGAGACAAAATTTGCCTGGAAATATTGTTGATTTCCAAAATCCGGACACCGATTATATATTTGAAAATTAAGAAATAGAAATGAAACTATTTTTTCCCCTGTGCACATCTCTAAACAAATAGCTTACTTTATCTGAAGTAATTTCAGATTTAAAGAGCTCTCCTTTCTAAAGTTACCATCAAGTATAAGCAGAAGCTGTCTCTCCTCCCCCTCAACCATTTGCTCAGCAATGGCCAAACATCTTGGCACTAGAGGTGGATACTGTTCAATATTCTCATAAACCTCACTCTGTCACTGCAGTCTCCTATCAGATAGTTTTATTATTTATTTATTTATACAATTATAGTTTTTATTTGTTTGTTCTATCTTTACATGACACCATGAATTTTATAAATAATTTTAACCAGTTTAAGTATTTAACCAGGAATGATACATTCAGATTGCACTGGTTTCTAAGTACGTCCTGGGGATATTACCTTTTGCCAACATCCAGGGGATGTTATTATTACCTAGTTTCTACTTGTGGTGTAACTGGCATCAGTCCCTGGGGTTGCCCAAACCCATATTGAGTTTTTGCAAACAGATCCATACCCCCTTGTTCGGGACCCGAACAGAACTTGTGTGGTCACCCCCCGTTATTGACTAAGAACACCGAGCACCCCTGGCTGTTAACCGCAATTATGGAGTACTTGAGTGCTTTCCCTGGGTGGCCGCCGTTCGTATAATCGAATGCACGTGTGTCTCCCGAACACAGGCAGCGGTACTTGGTCATCGAGTGCATGGAACTAATTCCAGTTACACGTTCTCGCGAACCCCGGTCAAGATGGTACTGCTGGCTGTATACTTTCCCGACCAACTACACTAACCACATACGGGAGATATGATCTACCGACTGGGGGATCATTTGCTACCTAAGAGGCAGGGGGAGCATTCGTCGGTGTTCGTGCAGGAACTCCCAAACCAAGACCGGACACTGCCCTGATTTCTCTGGGACTCTTTTAGGGCATCACCTCGTGGCTGGCCGGTGAAATCTTCTCCTGAATAGCGATCCCTTTCCACTGTACCAATCTGATTCAGGCTATTCGAGGATATAAGAATTGTGGCGTTCCTGTAATGTTTTTTTTTTTTTAAATCTTTATTTTTTTGTTGCGCAGGTGGGTACAGAAAATGGAACAAGCGCCACATCAGCCTATATGAACATTTCAACGTGCTAAACAGTGGCAGTGCTATGTGCGCATTTTTACATTTTTAGGTACATGCACTAACTGGACAATAACATGTTGAACATAGATAGTGGATTACTGCATTGCTATAAATTACTGTCGTATATTCATAGTGAGGGTTACACATTTATTATTATATTATGATGACAAACGAGTATTGATAATCTAGTGCTCAGCGTCAGTACTTAGGAGAATCTCTATTGCTTGATAATCAGGCTGTCTTTACTGACGTGGGTGCCCTATGTGCTGGGTGAGTGGACTCGTCTAAATGTGTAGACATGAAATATATTGACAGGATTATGGGCTTGCTTCATGTTTAACTTTCTGTGCACCTTTATATTGGGCGTAAGCATGGTGTCACGTTCGCTACTTGAAGTGAGCGTCTGAGTCCCAATGTTTACTAGAGTAGCTTACTAAAGCGTACTCCCTGTCTGTTGCATTATGTAAATCACGTTAACCTATCATAAGACAGTATGCCTGGCTAAGCATGGTTGCAATCAGTGCTAGGGCTAATATTAACAAGCAAAAGTCTGTGTCCATGTGTGTGAGCATATTTACAGGAGTCCGCCACGTGTAGCAGGATTCAAGTGTCGCCTGTGCCGGCGTCACCACCGGAGCCGGCCAGCAGGCCGGCTGGGTCTTCTCATCCGCTTATCCAATTCCCAGTCTATGGGTATGTTGTGGAATGCTCTGCCTTAGATTTGTTTTGTGTGAGGCTCTGTGTTTCAGTGAAGAGTGGGGCTGTACCTCCCCTGTGTGCCTCATGGTGTTCCCTCATATTGATTTGCCGTTGGGAGGGGTTGTGATTGTTTGAGTCCCTAGATGTCAGTGCCCACCCGCGGTGCTCACCGCCCTGTGCCTCCTGCTGATTTTATCGGTCTTCTGCAGGATGACAGGCTTGTGTGGTCTCCTGCGGTGGTGTCGCAGGTTTGTCTGGGTGTTAGGGTGCCTTGGGCGGATTGTGGTTCCACGTTGGCTGGTCTGAGGTTTTGCTGGCGTCGTCGCATGTAGTCCTGGGTTCGGAGCGCCCGCTTGTCACGCTGCCAGTCTTGCCCACAACCTATCGAACATTAGATTCAGTTTCTCTTGTGTGGTCGCCAGTTGGGCCTCTAGTGTGCGTTTGTTTTGCCACGCCACCATCCTGGGTCGTGCTCCGTGGTGCTGCTCGATTGTCATCAGGGGTAATATTAGCGTGTCTTCTTGGACCGGGATATCCCCCCCGGTCCAAAGGGGGGGGGAATACCAATGTCCGCTGCGGTAATCAGCAACCAGCGCCGGAGGTCGTAGGTGGTCGTAGGCCGCAACAGGTCACAGGTAGGTTGTTCGGGGCTGTATTGTACTGCTTGGTATCATTTAATTTTCCGCTTTCCCCATGTTGTAGCCAGTGGGTTTGTGTCTTGGTTCCCATTGCTTGGCGGCTTTTAATCCCGGTTTTGGCCTGTGAGGCCCGTGAGCACATGCGATGTGCATCCGTTCAGTTAGCCTGTCAGGCCCCGCCCCCCCTTTTATTATGTTTTTGGATCTTTTATAATATTTTATGTATCTCATGTAACTGAGGGGCGTGGCTAGCAGATGATCGGAATGGCCGCATGCTGAACAAGCTCCTGGCATAACAGGCAAGAGATCAATTTTCTCAGAGGCAGAGAGTAACATGGGGAACCCCAAAAAGGCGCAGAACTCGCACACAGGCTCGGGAAAAACTCCAGCCGGGAAAATGGGCTCGCTTTCCAAGCTATTTAAAGATTATGCTGATTGCGCCCCAGACACCGCCAAATCCAATATGGCGCAGGTGGCACACGCAGCAGACTCTAATCCTCCAAGCCCAGTGTCATCAGACAGCTCCATGTGCCAGACAGAACCAGACCTCAAAGAGATCCTGCGCAGCCTACCCTCAAAAACAGACAACACAAGCTTCCAACACAAGCTGGCAAGCATCAGCACAGACATCAAGTAGGTAGGCCTCAGGGTCACAGATTTAGAGGAAGACAGGGGATCTATGCAGGCCCAATTACAGACCCTAACCTCCAAAATAGAAAATCAAGAAACATACCTCTCCCAGCTCCAGCGCTCCCTAGACAATGTAGATAACAGGGGCAGGAGGAATAACCTCAAGATAAAAGGTTTACCAGAAGCTGAAACTGAGGACCTCACAACTACCCTGAGAGAGTTATTTAATCTTATTCTGGGACGGGACGCAGGCACAGCTTTACTCCTAGATAGGGCTCATCGCTCACTACGTCTCAGAGACAACACAAAAGAGGCCTCACGGGACATACTATGCCGCTTACACTATTATGCGGTGAAAGAGGAGATAGTGAGAGCGCTGAGAAGCACTAGTTCTCCACTCATGCCCGGAGGGTGCTCAGTCCCATAACAGACCAAATCAGAACATGCAATCTCAAATACCGCTGGGGCTTCCCCTTTTCACTTACAGTCTCCTACAGGGGAACAACACGCATGATTTCAACACATCAAGACGTGCCAAATTTCATCCAATCCCTGGAATTCAATGAAGTACGCGTCGCTGACTGGTATGCCCCAGACACAGCTCAAATGTGGGGCCAAATGTAGCAGAGGCCACAAAGGCAAAAGTGGCGTACTCCTCTGAAAAAAAGGAGAACTGACACACCTGATCAATCAGGTCGTGCTGACAGACGTCAAATGAATGTGAACATGGACTGAGAACAGGACTCTCGGCATCTAGCAGAATGTCAATGCACCTTGAAGTCTCGGGTTCCTCGTAACCCATGAATACCCTCGATGCCTGCTACCACAAGCTGCACACAGGGCATAACAAAATGCAGAGACAATCTAGGGGAGAAATACCATGTAACGGATCACCTGGCACCCCGACTGGGTACCTCCATTGAAGAATGCTCCTAGCGCTTCCTGAGGACTCCAAGCACTGCAGCAAACACCACAACCACCGAACCGTAGGAGCATATGAATGCTCTCAAGCATATGAATGTTGTATACAGCCGAATAGGAAAAACCATGCGGCTAGGTTTACACTCCTAGCAGTCAAACTGGAACAGCATACAATAAATCCTCCCCCAATAATGAGACGACACTTCACTTTGAGGGTTAAGCAGGAACTGACTGTACTGGCACATACAGCCTCTTTTATTCCCAATCCACAAACTTAATACTGCCCACAGGGTTTTGAAATACAACCAATCAATCTGTACAATACACACAGACACTCCCACACAAAATCCTCCCCTCTGCCTGTGATATGATTACTGAACACAATGGGTAATCTAACTATCACAGACAGAGAAATACAGTTTCATAAAACACATCACAGGGACCCCAAAACATGCAATAACCCCATAAAAAGTATATCCTTGGAACCGGGGGATCTGGGTGAACCATATATCCAAAATTCACCCAGATCCGTTCAGTACTTTGGAAAATACAGTTTAATGCAGATTCTGCAGAACATATACAGGCTAAATGAAACACAGTCACTGTATAATGTGTCCCCTGCTGTATAGTCCAAAACCACTGCACGATGTCTCTGTGCACCAAATACCGGCGAGATGGCACCGTGTTGAAAAGTTCAAACAGTGTCTGTGAGTTAAAATGACCGCCATCCATTGTTCTCACCATGTGCTTCTGATACAGGAAATGGTGGCCACCCAGAAACTCCACAGTATGTCCCCAGATGGTTCTTAAAGGGCCAGCAGCAGCACAACACAAATCCATTATGCCCAAATCATGTCTTTAAAGGGCAATACATCCCAGGGGCCATAGTCACATGGCAGGAGGCTGGCAATCAGTCTTCTCCAATGCCCAGTGGCGAGGTCGGTTTCACCACATTTCTCCACTTTCCCAAAGAGACTAACAAGGTATCTGACCTCCTGTCAGTCAGTGCCTTGGTTAGTCCAGCAACCCACCCACAAAACAGAATCCGCAGTATAACCCACACACGAAAATTGGTTACTACACCTGGAGTAGTGGGTCACTTGTCCAGGTCCAGGAGCTCCACCTTGGATCTGGGGGGTACTAGCACTCTGGATCGATGGGTTGCTGGGTGGGCAGAGACCAGCGGTACTCTGCCCTGGTGCCAGCGCTACCACGGGAGTAGCCTGGTTGGAGCCCAGGTGAGGGAATGGCGTAGTAGAATCCTCCCGCTGGACCTGGTGTTGCTGCTGGAGGGGCAGACAGGCTGTCTCCCCTTTGGATATACAGCCCTGCTGCTGGGGGACAGGACCGACCATCCCTACCCCCTGTGGTTTGGGCACAGAGACCACGGTCCCATCTGCACCGGTGCGGGGCTTATCATCTCCCCTTGGTGGGCTAGGCTGCCACTGGGGAGGGGGAACGAGACTCTCCCCTCCCGGTAGAATTCTCTACCGCTGTGGAGCAGGACCGACTGTCCGTACTCCCGGTAGCTTGGGCGCAGAGACCACAGTCCCAACTGTGCTGGTGGGGGGCTTAGTGTCTCCCCATGGTGGGCTATGCTGCCGCTGGCGAGAGGGGGTAACAAACTCCTCTCCCTTATACACTTTCAACCGCTGGGGAGAAGAGGTAACAGGCTCCTCTCCCTGACTCTCTCTCTGCTGGTGGAGAGGGGGACTGACTGTCTCTCCTTTCAATATATTGCCCCGCTGCTGGGAAGCGAGACCGACTGTCTCTGCTCCCTGCAGGACACACTGCCGCTGGGGAGGAAGGACGGCACCTTTGGCTCCCTGTGACTCACTGGACTGCTGGGGAGAGGGACCAACTGTCTCCTCTCCTAAGGACACATTCTGCCGCTGGGGAGGAAGGACAACACCTTCGGCTCCCTGGAACTAACACTGCCGCTGGGGAGGAAAGACAGCACCTTCGGCTCCCTGGAACTCACACTGCCGCTGGGGAGGAAGGACGACACCTTCGGCTCCCTGGGACTCACACTGCCGCTGGGGAGGAAGGACAGCACCTTCAGCTCCCTGTGATACATACTGCCGCTGGAGATCTGGGCCGACCGCCCAGCATCCCTGTAGGGCCGGTAGAGAGACCGCCGTCCCATCTCCACCTGCCATCTGTGGGTCTTCCCAGGACCAGTCTGTGAGGTCCCTCAACATTTGCGAGTAAGGACCACCTGCTTCCGCACCTGGCAACTCTGGCTGCTGCTGTGGATCTGGGCCGGCTGCCCAGCATTCCGGTGGGCCCGGTGGAGAGACCTCGGTCCCATCTCCACCTGCCTGTTGTGGTTCCTCACAGGACCAGTCTATGAGGACCCCTACTTCGGGTTCCTGCGGCCGCCTTTAGGGGGAAACGGCTAGCCTCCTCGGATGCAGCCTCTACTCGGCTGCTGTAACACTCCTTCCGCTGAGCATACTCTCTCTCTTTCGCCAGCCGGAATTCTCGGGCCAGCCTTGTGTTTCGCTCGGCCGTAACCTGGTACCAGATCACCCGGCGTATCTCCATGGGTACATCATCCCCATACTGGGCCACTTGCTGCCTCACCTCGGCCATCCAATCATCGCCAGAGCCTTCCATACTTGTCTGGATACCTCTGCTCCCAGGGGCGCTGCACGTGTGCTAGCGTTGCCCTTAATTTGTAACTCCACGAACGGTGTCTCTGAGCTGCTTTACCTCGCACTAGGATGCCATCCCACCGCTTGCCACTAATGTAACGGATCACCTGGCACCCCGACTGGGTACCTCCGTTGAAGAATGCTCCTAGCGCTTCCTGAGGACTCCAAGCACTGCAGCAGACACCACAACCACCGAACCGTAGGAGCATATGAATGCTCTCAAGCATATGAATGTTGTATACAGCCGAATAGGAAAAACCATGCAAATAGGTTTACACTCCTAGCAGTCAAACTGGAACAGCATACAATAAATCTTCCCCCAATAATGAGACGACACTTCACTTTGAGGGTTAAGCAGGAACTGACTGTACTGGAACATACAGCCTCTTTTATTCCCAATCCACAAATTTAGTACTGCCCACAGGGTTTTACAAAACAACCAATCAATCTGTACAATACACACAGACACTCCCACACAAAATCCTCCCCTCTGCCTGTGATATGATTACTGAACACAATGGGCAATCTAATTATCACAGACAGAGAAATACAGTTTCATAAAACACATCACAGGGACCCCAAAACATGCAATAACCCCATAAAAAGGTATATATCATTGGAACCGGGGGATCTGGGTGAACCATATATCCAAAATTCACCCAGATCCATTCAGTACTTTGGAAAATACAGTTTAATGCAGATTCTGCAGAACATATACAGGCTAAATGAAAAACAATCACTGTATAATGTGTCCCCTGCTGTATAGTCCAAAACCACTGCACGATGTCTCTGTGCACCAAATACTGGCGAGATGGCACCGTGTTGAAAAGTCCAAACAGTGTCTGTGAGTTAAAATGGCCGCCATCCATTGTTCTCACCATGTGCTTCTGATACAGGAAATGGTGGCCACCCAGTAACTCCACAGTATGTCCCCAGATGGTTCTTAAAGGGCCAGCAGCAGCACAACACAAATCCATTATGCCCAAATCATGTCTTTAAAGGGCAATACATCCCAGGGGCCATAGTCACATGGCAGGAGGCTGGCAATCAGTCTTCTCCAATGCCCAGTGGCGAGGTCGGTTTCGCCACACACCACAAGCAAATACACGTCTCATAACCCAGAGTTCACACATGAGTCCCTAGACCCACACACCGTCACACACAACACCGGGAAGGGGACAGACAAAGGGGGAAAAGGAGAGACAGAGGAAGACCCCTCAAAAAAATCTTTTCGGGGGAAAGACCTTTTAAAGCGGCACTATCATGCTGAACTTACCTTTCCTCAATCTCTTCCTCTTCTCCCCCTCTCTCAGGCAGGGCCGGACTGGGGATACAAAGCAGCCCTGGAAAAAAAATTTGTGCCAGCCCCATAAGTCACTGCGCCATATATAAAAACCAACGGTTAATGGTACTATCAAATGGTTGTTTG